TAATATACATATATAAGAAGATACGAAAATATACTTGAATATATTTTCGTATCTTATAATATATATGTACAATCTATATATTAATCTATATTAATGAGATCTATATATTAATCTATATTAATGAGATAATTTAATTAATTTAATCTACGATCTATTCCATTAATTGATAAAAATGTTAAGATTTATATAATTTATTAAAATATAGCGTATATGCATTATAGCTGAATATATGAATATATTCAAAAATATTAGAAAAATACCATTAACATCTTGATAAACATAATTTTTGCATATGTAAAAAAAATCTTATGAATTTCCAACAAACAAAAACTCATGTCTTTTGCAACGACTTTAGTCAAGCCTCTCTTTATCATTTGATATTACACATAATAAATGAGAATGGATTAAAATGGATTGAAATTTTTTTTCTATCCGAATGCGTATTTTAAATAGCGAATACTATTTTGGATTCAATTGGATTCAATTAGATTCAATTGGATGCAATTGGATTGAAAAACTGCATTTCCTATTCAAAATTTTAAATTGAACAGTATTCACAATGTGTGTTGTGCACAGAAAAAGCTAATATTATTTTTAGATTGGAAGCCATAGAGATATACTCCATACAATTTTTATAAATAAATAAAAACATATTCGGGATTGAAAAATATTTATTTTAACATTCATGAATCCATCATCAGCAACATTGCAGCAACGTAAAAATGTCCGTTTTAAAAATATTAGTAAGTAATATTGCAGCAATATTACAACATAATATATATGGCAATGTTAGGTTAGGTTAGGTTAGGTTAGGTTAGGTTTTGCGCACAGTAGAGGAATACTTGTAGTATTATTGCAGAAACATTGTAATAATGCAGCAATATTGCTGTAATATTATAAAGTTACTACGATATTTATTATAAGATTTTGTATTATATAAATTTAAATATAAAAAATTAGAAGTAGGAGTTAAATATAACATACAATGAATACAAATAAAATGTGACTTCATAATTAATCATGTCTTTATATTTTATATTATAGTACTGAAAATCTACAGTAACGTGAACTATAAAATTTCAGTACTGACTATGCATACGGAACACGCCTATAAATAATGTAAAGACATAATTATGAAGTCATATTTTATTTATTCATTGTATGTTACATTTAACTTCTACTTCTAATTGTTTATATTATACGTCTTATATCTTATTATTGTGTTCATTATATATTATTTAATCCTTACTTTTAATTGTTTTATGTCTATAAATTATAGGCACAATTCCTATAAATTATAGACATTAATTACGTTTATCTTATGCCCGTTTCCTCAATGTAGATTAACTTTAATCTCGGTTCAACTTACTCTTCGTCTTTTGCTAATCTATAGAAAAGAAGATAAATTGAATTGAGATTAAAATTATCTATATTGATAGAAATGAACATTAATCGGGTTTAATAATATTCGTAGTTAGAAACTAATCATTCATTTCATTTTTCAGAGGAATATAATTATGAGATTGGTCAGTTTCATAACTACAAATGTTATGAAACCCGATTAAGTGTGTCGTGTAAAACGTAATTATTAATTTCTATTCTTCTATTATATCCTTACTTTATGGGTTATACACAAATCAATATATACAACTTAACATTCAATGTGAACTTTCTAGATTCATAAATCGACACAATGACAAAAATCATTCGATCTTGTCTTTGTTTACTGATTTTTTAACAAGGACAGGATATGACTCTTGTGTCAATTTGTATTTCTTGCTGGAAATATTTTAAAAATATTGCAATATTGCTCAAGTAATATTGCAAAAAGAAGTCTTCGTAATGTTTCTGCAATATTGTATTGCAATATTGTATTGTAAATATATTTAGATAAATGATTATAACATCAGAAAGTTTTGAGAAAATTCAATTGTGTATATTCAAAAATTAGAGAAAGAGAAAGAAAATTTGAGGAAAAATGCATAAAATTAATAAATTCTTCCCAGCATTAAGAATGAATTGAAATGGATTCCAAGCAAACGAGAATGGATTGAAATGAATTCAGATTTTCAGAAATATTGATTCACGAATATTAAAATGAATGTTTTTCAATCTTGATTGCTCAATCTTTTTATTCATTTATAGGATTGCATGAATCATATCTTTATGCCTTTTAATCTAAAAATAATATTAGTTTTTTCTGTGAATACTGTTCAATTCAAAATTTTGAATAGAAAAAGCAGTTTTTCAATCCAATTGTATCCAATTGAATCTAATTGAATCCAATTGAATCCAATTAAATAAAAAAAAATATTCGCTATTTAAAATATGCATTCGGTTAGAAAAAAATTTTAATCCATTCTCATTTGCTGAGTTAGGAAGGCATCTGCAATTTATCCAAAGTTTGTTTTCCCTCTCTTTCAATATGAGACACATATCCAGACATGGATATATCCATTGTGGAAGTAGTCTCAATGTTTGTATAGAATAGAATATCATATATATATCAATTTTTATATCATGTACATATCAGTTTTTGTTCTATTTTTTCCAGCGTGTATATTCGCAGCAAAGACATAAATACAGACGTCAATAGACGTGCCGAAGAAATTTATATCACGAAAATATTTTTTTCTAAGAAATAACCTTTATTTTATAATTCAAAGCTATTTATACCTTTTTTATGATCAAGTGAATAGACTTTATTTTAAAATTATCTTCTATATTAATAGAAAATTTTTTTCAAATACGGTTTCCTTATCATAGATAAGCATTATTATATAATTCAATGATGAAAGTTGTGATTGAAAGTCCATTTCACATTCATTTTATGTGTATATACTTATTCCTTGCAGATAACTGTTATCATGGCTTTAAAATTTGCCAGTAATCTGTCTTTTATGTTTACTGAGGTTCCTAATATTATTGACAGATATCAATTGGCTAAGCAAGCTGGATTTAAAGCAGTTGAAAGTGGATTTCCATTTGGCTTCTCTGTTCAGCAAGTTGCCATAGCTAAAAAGAAGGCTAATGTTGATCAAGTACTTTTGAATGTATTCACAGGTATGTTGTGTTTATGCTACAACATTACAAAGATAATTTCATTAATTTTATAGCGAATTCGATCACTTATATTACACTAGATCACTTCTACAGAACATAGTTGCACAAAAGTTGCAGCAACACTGCATGCAGCAATATTACAGAGATTTTACAGCGATATTGCTGCAAATTCTGTGCTGTATGGACAGTACATACTAAAAGCTGCTTTACATGAAATTAATAAAGTTAAATATAAAAGTAATATAAAAGTATATAAATATTTTAAACGATTAGCTGTTTACTAATGATATTGTCACATTATTTAACAAAATATATGTGTATTATTCATTGTTAAAATTGATTATATCATTAAGATATTTTATATATAAAGTAGCTTTTAATATGCACTCCAATGTAGTTCGAATGATCAAATTCATCATTAATTTCAACATTGTCTTAACAGGTGATGTTACAAAAGGAGAAATAGGCTTTGCTGCTATTCCAGGTGAAGAAGAAAATTTCAAAAAAAGTATCGAGAAAACAATAGAATATGCAAATGCTTTGAACTGTAAAATGTCAGTATATCGATAAATTGTAAATGTACAAATTTGATTGAAAATTTAATTTTTATAATGAGAGAGAGTTTTCATGTTATATAATCATAATAACGAATTTTATTCTTAATAGAATTCATGTAATGTCAGGAAAAGTGGAGGCTCCTACTACTGCTAATGATATGGTTTATGAAAAAAATCTATTGTATGCTATTGAAAAGTGTCAAAAAGAAGACATTGTTGTTGTCATTGAACCAATTAATAATTATAGTGTACCAAATTACTACATGAACAATTTTCAAAAAGGTATATGAATTCGTATTGTCTATGAATTGTAGTTTACTTCCTCATAATGAATCATTAGAGTAATTTTTTATATTTTTATCATAGGTTTAGATTTGGTGAAAAAAATAAACAATGCACACTTCAAGTTGTTGATGGATATCTTTCATTTACAACATTGTTGTGGTAATATTACAAAATGTATTCAAGATTTTTTACCTTATATAGGTTAGTAACATATATTATATTAATTTTTATTGTTAGATTCTCTTTGTGTATAGTTTTATTGTATTTTTAATGTATTTCGTTTGAAAATAATTTATTGTTAATTATATATGTGCATATTTTATTTATTCAAGCAGATTTAATCTTAATATGATCTACATAAATAATATAATTTATTTCAATGATATATTCATATTATTTCCATATTATTCCAAATAAAAAAAGTATATATTTAATATATATTTAATC